CCAAGCGTTTGAGACAGTGTAATTAGGTAATAATATGAAATCTTACCCTCTGGTATGGCTGTTGGAAATTGTTTTTAACATTTGATTAACAACTAATTTTAATGTTTGTGTATATTTATAGTTGGTTTTATGTTTCGGCATTGAATGTTTGTCAAATATGTTTTGCTCCACCCTGAGTCCCCTTCAGGGTGAGAAGGGCAAAATATAAATAATTTTAAATCAATAAATAATAAATAAGGAGAACAAAGTCAACCTCTATAAAAAATACCTTTGAAGGAAGGGACTATGGTGTATTATAACTGTGAAAAAGTAAATTGGTCAGACATATATGTTTTTAATGGATTCTGTTTATGGAATCAACACAGGAGCATTTAATTTTCTCAGATTATTTTTACATAAAGTACTTGAGTGATGTAAGAAGTTGTTTGCTTCTGACATTCTAAAAGCAGGCATGGTGCTTTGTGTCCATGAGTTTAATCTGTCTATTCTAAGGCTTTCAGTGCAACACAGCAGATCTGAAGAGCCCTGCCTTCCCTCCCTCCTCAGGGAACAAGACTTGAGGGCTTGAATCACCTCTGATAACACAGGAGGACATGTCCATTGATAAGATTTAGCTGTAAACAGCTGAATCTCCAGGCTCAAAAGCAGACTTAGGAGATTGGGGGACCAACAGTAAGGGAGGAGCTGTTTCCTTCAGGACCTGCTATGGAAAACAACATACAGTGTTCCCTCATTTATCGCGGGTGTTACATTCCAGGACCATCCACAATAAGTGAAAATCCGTGAAGTCAGGACAATACACACACACACAATCTCAAGCTTGACGCCTCTCCCACCTTTCTTTCCCTGCAATGGGTTGGTCTCATGATGTCACGCTCATCCCCGCTCCTCCCTTCTGACCCCGCACACTTCCTTCTTCACTCACAGCCTTCCTCTTCCAAGCCAGGCTCCTCCAGAGGTAGGGGCAGGGCGCAGGGGTAGCAGCAGCAGAGGGGCCATGAAGACAGGGCCATGGCTGCCTCGCCCCGCTCCTCACTCAGGCCCAGCACCGCTATGGCAGTAACAGCAGCAGCAGGAGGGAAGCCTGCTTGACCCAGATGTGGAAGCCCATGCCTGCGGCGACACGTGCGAGCCCGGTAGGAAGGGCTCCTCCTCCTCCTCCTGCTCCTACTCCTACTCCTCCTCTTCTCTGAGGCACAGTAGGGAAATGTGGGATGAGAAAGCCTCGTCAGGGAAGAAGGAGGAGGAAGAGGAGGAGGAGGCAGCATCTACGCTGGAGAAACAACGGGTATACAATGTTCCCTCACTACTTGTATTTATTTTTTTATTTTTTTAAATAAAACACGAAACAGGGTGTGTGAGGAAAGCAAACCGCGAAGTAGCAAGGGAACACTGTATTGCATAACATAGTCTTCAGTTTAGCCCACCTGAGCACGTATTCATTTGTGGGGGGCTTTGCTCTTTCTTAAAATGTTCTGCTCAATGTCAACAAAGACCATAACTAATCTATTTACACCATGAAGCATTTGCCTGAGTAGACTAAAAAGGCTGCCAGTACAACATGCACTTGTCCACTGTCCAACGTTGGCTACTCAGAGCTCAAGAAAGGCATTGCCAAACCTTGCCCTGGGCTGTGATGAGCTGAGTCACTACAGTGTGTACCATAGAGCAGGCCATTTCTTCACAGGTGAGTAAACACATTTGAGGCCAAATGCCCTGCTAGGAGGACATGCCAGGTTGTTGAATAAATCAGAGACATTCAGAGCACAATGTGGTGCCTGACAGAGGACCAGCACTCAGCATCTCTCTGCCTCTTTGATCTGTAGAGAAAAAAGTGGTGCCCTCTTGGCTGAGAAGCAGCACGTGGGCATTGCCCCCGATGGCCTTTCTCGGCTAGAAAAAGAAGCCCTCTGTACTCCACAGGGTCAGGACAGGCCCACATCATGAAAGGGGAAAGGGAAGAAGCAAGAGGCAAACATGAATAAAAAGACACACAGCATGGTCAGAGAACAGCAGAACAAAGGAGTACTATATATTGCAGATGAAGAGACTGGCAGAACCACCGCTGAGCCTTCCTTGCCGAAAAAAACCCTATGAAACTCACGAGGTGACCATAAATTGGCAGGCAACTTGAAGATGCATACGCACGTTATTTGCCTGCTGCATTTCTTGATACAATTCATGAAACCCAACATTTATTTTAGTGTAAAAGTATAAACTGTCTAGTATAAAAGTCCAGGATTCCCTTACACACTCTAAGATAGATGCTCGTTATTAAACATTTCACTTAAAAATAATGTTTACTCTCTCAAAGATTGAGATAAAAATGCCCCATTACTACCATATTTATCTATTAATTAATTATTTCATTTCTATGCCGCTTTTTTCAACCCTTAGGGACTCAAAGTGGTTCACGACAAAGTAAATAGCAAAATTCAATGCCTCACAAAATATAAAACACAACACATAACTAAAATAGCATATTGTAATAGATTAAAACCAGTAAACTATAAAACATCAAACATACACAACACAACATAGAACATTGGACCAATCCCGAAGTTATCTTGGCTGCTTCATCTCACTCTCCAAATGTTTGCTTTAAAAGCCATGTTTTGAGTAATACCTGTTCAGTATCTGATGGCTTCTTCCACCCACTCACACAACCAATCAACGTTTACCATAATGAGAGACATGAGATTTGTAAACTGTCCCAAGCATGTAATTCCATTGTTACATCTTCCTCCTTCAACCACCATAGCACTGATTTTTTTAAAAACACACCCTTGATCATACAATTGCATTGCAAAAAACCCTTCTGCTCTCTCCCTCATATAGAGCATATAAGGACATGATAGGAACTCACATCCCACCTCCCCTTAATTCTGCATAAAGGCCATTGCTCTAAACACGTCAAGAAAGAATGGAAGGGAAAAGGAACTCTGTCCATAATTAATATCTTGCACATCCTAAAGGTTTGACATTTAACGCTTTGCTGAGCTAACAGGCGACAAAGCAAGCTCCAGTTTAAGAAATGGGATCACGAACATTCCCGTCCTGCCTGCTCTTTAGATAAACAAATCCAGACACGTAGATCTAACAGAGGAATGAAAGGAGGTGGTAGAGGAGAAGGAGCAAACACTTGTCCAGAATGCTTTGCATCAAAACGTCACTCTTCTTCTATAAATGATGGAAGGAAGGCTAAAAATGACTTATTGAGAACACAAGGGTATATACTGTAGATCGCAGGAACTGACAGAGGCAAACTATTTGGCACCTGAGCAGATTGAGAGTACGGTATGTTCTTTCTCCTTGGATTTCTTTAAATCAAGCTGCATTGTGAGACTTGCACAATGACACTTTGAGTGAGGATATAAAAGTACATTTTCCAGGGAACTTCAAAAATTCAAGAGAGAGATTTGCATGATTCCCAAGGGGCCTCTGCAATTAGCATTAGTATATGCTACCAAGCAGCTCTTCTAAACTAATGGGTTATGTGAATTGTAAGACTATACATGTGATCTATGAATCCACAGAAATGAAAAGAACCAAGTCCTCTCTAGCGAACTCTAGAGACTCTAAGGCAGTGGTTCTCAACCTGTGGGTCCCCAGATGTTTTGGCCTACAACTCCCAGAAATCCCAGCCAGTTTATTAGCTGTTAGGATTTCTGGGAGTTGAAGGCTAAAACATCTGGGGACTCAGGATGAGAACCACTGCCCTAGGGGGACTTAAAGTGGTTCACAACAAAGTAAATGGCAAAATTCAATGCCTCAAAAATATAAAACGCAACACACAACTAAAATAGCATATAATAATAGATTATAACCAGTAAACTATAAAACTTCAAGCATAGAACCAAGTCCTCTCTAGCCAACTTTAGAGACTCTAATGCATTGGTTCTCAACAGTGGGTTCCCAGATGTTTTGGCCTTCAACTCCCAGAAATCCTAACAGTTGGTAAACTGGCTGGGATTTCTGGAAGTTGTATGTCAAAACACCTGGGGACCCAACGGTTGAGAACCACTGTTCTAAGGCATACCACCATAACAAGAAATGAAACAATAAACCTTGCATAACCTTGTATAAGTAAGCAAAAATATTTAACCTTCTTCTATACCCAGCACTGAAAGTCTTTGTTTCTCCAGCCTATGTCTTCTTCCCAATATTGACACTGTTAAAAGATTTCCTGGCAGACAGAGGATGAGAAGGAAAAAAGAGTCTGGATAGACATAAAAAGACTTTATAAAAGGAGCTTCTTGCACTTTTCTTCTATAGTAGAGAAGTATGCATCTCTCTATTTTTGGGTAGGGGAGAATTATTGGTGGGTGAGATGTACAGGAAGAATAGGATAGTCAAATTTGTATGTGTATATTGTCTTACACATATAATTCTGACTATCCTATTATACTACTACAATCCTCTCTGTGGCAACTGCTCTTCCTCTTGGGCCAAAGAAGTATTATAAAGGCTACTTGTGGTTGAGAGATACTTCAACTAATGATCAAGCTTTATCACCTATTTCTAATAGAGCCCTCTTTGCTCTCCTCCAAAATATATGAGGGATTCAATAAGTTATCACAAATTATAGTTTTGGGTCAGTGATTCCCATCTTCACTACCCATGACACCAGCTGGGCAGAAACCACAGGTTTGTTGTGCAACTTCTTTCCCCAAGAGAACACTGCCAAGTCTCAGCTAGGTTTAAGAGTTTGACGAGCTAAAAAGACATCTTATAATTCCTATTCTGTAACTATGTTATTTAACTGGATTCAAAATAAAAAGTAATAACGGTGCTGAGTGGAAGGGAGAATCTTCCATCAAACCAAACTTGAGATACATCTTGGAATGCAAGTATTAATTGGGGAATGCATGCAAAAGAGAAACATATGTAAAACAACCAATAAAACTAAGCTTGTAAAAACAAACGGCCTGCCTCATTTCAGTCCTGTCTACCCCTGATCTCCACAGCTACTATCTAATTATGTTCATCTTCACTCTTACCGCTACAGGTCTGTTCCCAAGGAAATTGAGATCACTGTTCTCTCCAAAGAGGTAACCCTCAGGATGTGTCGAATCAAACTTCTCACCTCCCATGATGAAGTGACTGGCAAAGTAGCTTCCTGAAAAGGAAAGAAAAGTACAGTGACCATCAGAAGAACTAGGAGTCATGCATGTGCTATGGATATGGGAATGAAAATGTAGAAATTGCAATCTATGCAACCCCAAAGCAGCATACAGTGCAATATGGAACAACTCGTGGATAGAAAGGCCTGCTATTTTAAATGTAACAAACCCCTGTTTTGTCCTGAAACCCAAGAGTGTATCCACACTGCACAATTATAGCAGTTTGATACCACTTGAAATGTCATGGCCCCGGCATACGGAATCTTGAGATTGTAGTTTGGTGGAGAATTTGGCATTCTTTTCCAGAGAGCAGTAATCTGAGTTACAGATTATAATTCCCTGGGCATCTGTCTATATTACAGAATTATATTTAATTAGTCCTCAATCTCTCTCTTTAAAGATTATATTAGTGCATTCAAAATATTTACCAAACTATAAATCCAAATCTGTACATAGGGTGTCATAGATAATGACAGCTTTGCATTTTGATGGTTCAACATATGTAAACTTTGTTTCGTGCATGGAATTATTTAAGCTATTGTGCTATCTGTGTAAAGTGTATATGAAACATAAATTAGTGTTTAGGCTTGGGTCCCTTTGCCAAGGTATCTCATTATACAGGTGCAAGTATTCCAAAATCCAAAAAAACTAAATCTGAAAAACAGAACACTTCAGGTTCCAAGTATTTCAAACAAGTATTTCAAAGAAGGGATACTCAACCTGTATCAAACTGTTATTATTGTGCAGTCTGGATACAGCTAAGAAAAGTAAGGAATATGAAAACATTTCACTTCACAGTCCCTCCTTTAAATTTTCTGCCCCACACATCACATAAATTATCTTTATGTGATCCTCACAATCTTTTTCTGAACAAAACCCACTCAATGATTCAATATGTGTAGTTGAATTTAGTTCAGAACGTCTTTTGTGTCTCCTAGGAATGCAAAGTTAGTAGAAGAAATCCAGCAAACATGTCACTTGCTGCTGCCTCATTGCAGCTTGTTACTCCTAAAAATTACACAAATGATCTTTATGTAGTCATCACAAGACACCTGTAAAATTGGTTGGTTGTACCATCCCCTCAACAGTATCCATTCATAATCTCAGAAATATCAGCGAAGAAGGAGAGAATGTGAGTTCCTCTGCTTTAAGAAGATTTGAAGTAGACTTTCTGAGCTCAGTCTTTTAGCCAATATGTTAATCCCCCCCCCTTCCACCCCAAATCCAGCACTTGAGTAATTGCTTTACATGTAACTATTATTCCAAATCAGTTTATCACTCCTAACTTCCAAGACATCACAGGCAATTGCTGACCTGGCACTGTGTATATCCTTCTTTCCTATTTGTAAATCATTTTTGCTTTTAAAAGGGAAGCAATACAGTAAAGAAAGGCCTCAGTCCAAAGACAGCCACCCACGGAGAGACCGCAAAACTTGTAGACATGATACATGACTGGTCCTTTGAGCTGTCTGAAAAAACAGATGCTTTCCCCTGGTAGGGTTTAGCCTTGCTGCTCGGGTTAACTGCAAATACTCCAAAGGGAAATTCCTGGCTGGTACTTCAAGACAGACAGTCAGACCTGTGTTAAATTTATTTGAAAAGAACACTCACAGTCATTTATTTCTCTTGAGAAGGAAATAAAAACCTTCTCACTTCAGCCTGCCCAGGAAATATCTGCCTATTTTTATGGTTTCCACAAAGATCATACCTCTGGGCTCTGTGCATATACACAGAAAGCAGCCCTTGGGGCAAACATGGTGACTTCAGATAAATATTTATCCTCAGATATGCCTAACTGTTGACTTTTATCTCCTGCTGCATTTGTCTGATCTGAAGCTCCCTTCAGGCTCTCAGCACATTTCAGCACAATGACTTGTGACAAACAGAAGACTGAACAATCTTTTGGGATACCAAACCAGCTGCTTCACCACTGAACCGTTCACAGCTACAACAATCCTAGGGGACAACGGTGGTCGTCTGATCAAGATACCAGACGTTCATTCAGTGATTCACACACAGGACTGTTCATTTTCTTTAATTCAGTATGTGTGGCAGAATTCTGTTGAAAATTTTGTTTCGGCCTCCAAGAATCAAAAGCCAGACTATGAAATAGTGATTATATTTCCAGGCCTCATGGCTGTAAGATTCTGAAAACATCAACAAAAGAGATCAAGTACAGGGGACTGGGGTCTTTCCATAAAGTATATTTAGATACTAGATTTTAATTTTAAAAAATTTAAGAAAAACAACAAATAAAGTACATGATAAAGGTTGGACATTATAGACCAAAAGATTCAAGCTGACCTCAACTTTTGTTGATCTATCAACAAGAGACCCCCAAGTTACCCTACCATCAAGAACTGCTTGCTCAGTTCTTGCATACTCAGGGCTGTTACTTTCCTGATAAATGCCAGTCAGGAGAATAACAGCTCTGAGTGTGCAAGAACTGAGCAGGAATCTATCTGGAATGCAGTCGGCCCTTCACTTTCAAGCATTATTGTCATTTCCAGCGAGTCATGTTTTCTCATCGTATAGCCAAAGTATAACAGTCTCAGGTTAGCCATCCTGGCTTCTAGGGAGAGTCCAGGCTTGATGTGTTGTCGAAGGCTATCATGGCCGGAATCACTGGGTTGCTGTGAGTTTTCTGGGATGTATGGCTATGTTTCAGGAGTGTTCTCTCTTGACGTTTCACCCACATCTATGGCAGGCGTCCTCAGAGGTTGTGAGGTCTGTTGGAAACTAGGCAAGTTAGGTTTATACATCTGTGGAATGTCCAGGGCAGGAGAAAGAACTCTTTTGTCTGTTAGAGGCAGTAAGCAGCCAGGTTTTGAAGCTGCAAGGCCATTCAATTCTAATCAAGATGGCCAATTCCAACATTCACACTTGCCTCAAGCAGCTTGTGAGGTCTGTTAGCCATTGAAATCAACAACTATTGTGGAAAATTTCAACAGAAAAGGAGGAAACCATGAAAATGAACAAAATCTGGATAGCAGTATTAAAAAACTCTAAAATCAAAACAGTAAATAAAGAAGAACATTAATAAAAACAGGAGAATTCCAGACAGGAAACAATCAGTCAGCTAACACCTCTCAACAAAGAATTCCCCCGGACAGGAAACAGCCAGGCTTTGAAGCTGCAAGACCATTCAATGCTCATCAAGGTGGCCAACTACAATATTCACACTTGCCTCAAACAGACAAGAGTTCTTTCTCCCACCCTGGACATTCCACAGCTATATAAACCCCACTTGTCTAGTCTCCAACAGGCCTCACAACCTCTGGAGATGTCTGCCACAGATGTGGGCAAAACATCAGGAGAGAATGCTTCTGGAACATGGCTATACAGCCCGGAATATTCACAGCAACCCAGTTCAGTCTTGATTTGCTCTAAGACCCATTTATTTGTCCTCTTGGCAGTCTACAATATCTGCAGAATGCTTCTCCAATACATCTTGACTGATCTGATTTTCACTATTAATTTTAGTGTATTCAAAGATAAATATGACAACACAGGAGCATATTAAGGGAGATAGGGTCGAAGAGGACTAAAACTCATAGCACATTATTTCCAGAACACCTGAAATATACTTCCTCCAAGAGTCATGTGAAAATGTATAGTTTCATTTTTAATCTACTGATATTTTATCCATTCCAGCGGCCCAAGACGATGCCATCTGAAAGCTATATTTTTCCAAAAAAGGAAAGCTCATTGCTCATAGAGAGAACATGAGGGTCACCAGCTCCATCACTCAGTGTGGTTACCCAATTAAGGAAAGGGAGGGGTTATGATAATAAATACATACTATTGCTTCATATGAATTAGTTATGGATCTGTAACTCTTGATTACAAATCTCTCTCTTCAATATGGGATGACAGACAATGTTGTTTAAGGCATTACAACCACTGCCCATATTTCTGACACCTGTAACCACTCATCCTGTAATGCACTTGTAACCTGAGGGATTTAGAATCTGAAGGATCAAATGAACTTTTAACAACCTCATCATAATCCCAGACAAGCTAAGGCAGAGCTCTTTCCCCAAAGATCTGGAGAGCTTGTTATCTGACAAGACTGTGGCTGGGAATTGGGAGCCCTCCAGATGCCTCACCATTGGCTATGCTGACAAAGTGCTGCCAGAAGTTGAAATTCCCAAAAGCTCGTGCAAGAGTTGCATAGAGGAAAAGAGGGGAGAAAAGTGTCAGGAAGAGGAACAAAATACATAGTTCTCAGAATGATTCAAAGTGATTTCCTTTGTTAGAAACAGCACAGGGGCAGACCCTCTTTCAGGCCCTCACCCTCACTTGCCGAATATGTCAGTGAGAAGGGATAGTGCCAGATATTCTAAACTATGCCTTGGAATCCAGGGCTTCTTCATATTAGTCTTTCAAACGTTTCTTTTTATCAAAGACTTGTCCTTACAATCATTTAAAGAATATTTCCAACATATATCCTCTAAGAAATTTTCGTGTTGCCTAGATAAGGTTCACTAAGGACAATAAAACAGCTGTACATGAGCATCTGGGGTATGATAACCTCAGAATATTGCTCTGCACCTGTCCAGTTTATCCCAGTCAACCCACCACCATGCCAATTCATTATTAAAGAGTGGATGCTCAATTCCAAACTGTTTCCATGAGTAATCATGGTAACGGTTATGTTTATTTTATAAAGTTGAAGAGCTACTCCCAGTATTTGGATACATTTGGGGGGGGGGGTTCTGCATTTCTGTACAAAATTTTGTACAAAATAGCTATGAGCCCCCTGCTGGTACAGCGGGTTAAACCGCTGAGCTGCTGAACTTGCTGGCCAAAAGCTTGGAAGTTTCACTCCGGGGAGCGGGGTGAGCTCCTGCTGTTAGGCCCAGCTTCTGCCAACTTAGCAGTTTGATAACATGTAAATGTGAGTAGATCAACAGGTCAACAGGTCTGCGGGAAGGAAACAGAACTCCATGCAATCATGCTGGCCACATGACCTTGGAGATGTCTACGGACAACG